CAGGTTGGGACTGATATGGGCTTCCTGGGGCTGCCGTTACAAAGGACCACAAGCGGGTAACTTTGAACAGAGACTGATTCTGTCACGGTTCTGGAGGCCACAAGTCCAAAATCGAGATGTCAACAGGGCTGTGCTCCCTCCAAAAACTCTAGGGGAGAGTCCTTGCTGCCTCTCTCAGCTTCTGGTGGCTCCAGGCGCTCTTCGGCTTGTGACTGTGTCACTCCAGTCTCTGTCTCCATCTTCACATGACCTCCTGCTCTGAGTCCGTGTGTGTCAAATCTCCTGCCTCCCTCTTACAAGGACACTTGTCACTGCATTTAGGGCCTGCCCGAATAACCCAGGATGATCTCCTCATCTCAAGATCTTAACTTCATCACATCTGCAAAGTCCCTATTTCCAAATAAAGTCCCCGTCCGGACAGGGAGTTAGGACATGCGCATCTCTCTGGGGCCATTTCAGCCTATCACAGGGCTGCAGGTGAACACTGACCTGGGAGTCCTGGACACACTGGTGGCCCCCAAGGCCAGGAGGTGGCTGTGATCTCAGCCAGGGAAAGAGTGGGTTCAAGAAGAAGAGAGGGGGCCCGGGTCCCAGCCAGAGGGGCCCCCACCTCAAGGCTGGCCTGAAGATTGCTATCCCCAGAGGAAGCTGTGACAGCCATATGAAAAGTGACAGAAGGGAAATGGGACAAGGGAGGAGGGGCAGCAGCTGCGGGCCGCGGAGAGGAGGGGCCCGGGGGCAAGAAAGCCTTCAGAGAGTGGGGGAGGGGAGGGGAGGGAGGGCCGAAGAGGGCAGGCCACTAGGGAGGAAGGGCGCGTGCGCACGAAGGCCAGCGGGATGGTGCAGAGGGCAGACCTCTTGTTCTGGGCTTTGTTTTAGGCCGAGAGTGCCTTTGAGGTAGTCCCAGGAGGAGACAGCTGACAGGGAGCCTTTGACAATGTAGGAGCAAGGGGCGATCACCAAGGCCTGAGGCCCCTGAGGACAGGCGGAGACAAGGGCACAGTGGGGACCAGGGATGGGACAAAACGAAAGGGACATGGGAGAGAAGCAAGGAGGTCAGGGGCCTCCCTGGGGCTGCTCCCTAAGCATTTCCAGTGCAGAAGACAGGGTTCGATGTAAGGAAGAACTTTCTAGAGAAGCTTTCTCCACCCACCTCTATACAGATGGAGAAGCCAAGAGGAGCTGGCTAATAAGCAAGGGCCACCGGTGACACTGGCAGAAGTCGCCTGGCACCCAGCTTCCCTCACTCCCAGGCCTGGGCCCTCCCTCTTGGGACTCCGACCACAAAGAGGCCGTTCCCTTTCCTGGCCCATTAGCTGCTTGAGGATTGCCATTTGCTAGGGACTGAGGACCTTCATGACCCCCTGAAGGGCTGTGACTCTGTCCTTTCATCCCTCCTGAAGGCCACACACCTTGTTCCTTGGCCAGTTGACTTTGGCCTCAGTGGGCCTCATGACAAAGGCCTGTGGTATGGCTGGCTCTTGCCAAGGCCAGCCCTGCACAGTGCCCCCAGACCAGGGGCAAGGCAAAGCGGCATCAGTGAGTGATCCCTGCCTCGGACTCTCTCCCTTCAACTTGCTTCTTCCTCCTCTGTATTCGAGGGTACCCCCAGCAAGAGGGGGCCTGTGCCGAGTGCAGGAAGAGGGGGTGCATATAACTACCCAACCAAGGCGACTGGCTCCAAGGTCTGGGAGCAGGATGAACTTCACACGCTGGTGCCAATGCCCCCGTGTGGACAGCAGCCGTCAGGAAAATGAACGCGCCCCCAGGGGCAATCAGTATGCCACCTGGCCTCTGAGGGAAGTCAGTGACACAGTCCCAAGGGAATCTTCTTTTCTCTTCAGCCACTCCCAGGCCTGCACGTGTGGGTCTCTCTTCTCCCCTCTCAGCATCCATTTCTTCCCCACTCCCATCCTCCCAGAGCTGCTGACACATGTCTGCTAAGAAGCGAGCGATAGCTGAGGTGTTTGCCATAAGCCGAGGTGTCCCCCTGGCCAAGGGAGGTTCCTGCCAGGGCCACCAGAGGAGACTGGATCAGCAGCCTGCTCCTACCTCCTCTGGCTCTGGAGCCAGGGGCCTCAGGCCCGGGTTGGGATGACGTGCTATTGGGCCAGACCCCAAGGAGCCCACCGCACTGCAGGAGGCTGGCCTGAATCTGAGGGGAGGCCATGGGCTCTTGGGAGGTGCTCCCTCTGCTTGGAGCTCCTTTTCCCTCATGCGATTGCCTGGGGGTGTGCTGGCACCACCCCTCTCCTAGCCAGGGTCTGGTGCCCCTCCGAGGATAGGGTGGCAAGAAGAGCAAGCCCAAGGCGGCCATGACAGGAGGCCCCCTGGGGCAGCACTGATGGAGCTCACAATAGGTGGGCAGGGAATCAGGGTCCTATCTTTCCTCGCTGGGTGCAGAGGATCAGGCAGGCCGGGCTCCACGCTGCTCTGGGGCCAAGGTGAAGTTCTCCCAAGTGGGTGAGCATGTAGGAATGAACGTGTGAGTGTGTGTGTGTGAGAGAGTGTGTGAACGACCGTGTGAGTCTGTGTGAGAGTTATGTGTGAGTGTAACAGAGTGTGACTGTGTGAACATAACCCAGTGGATGAGAGTGAGTGTGAGTGCAAATATATGTAAATAACTGTGTGTCAGTGTGAATGAGCATGACTAGGTGTGAATACCTGGATGTGAATGGGTGATGGTGTATGAATAACTGAGCGTGTATGAGTGTGCCTGAGTGAGCATTGCGTGTGCATGAGTGAGCTGCATGAGTGTGTGTGAGTGAGAGAATGTGAACTGTGCATGAGTGGGTGTGTGTGAGTGTGACTGAGCATGTGTAAGTGTGCATGAGTGAGTATGTGAGCAAGTGTGAGCTTTTGTGAGTGAGCATGTGTTGTGAATAAGTGTGTGTACATGTGAGTGAGTGTGTGAGCATGTGTCAGCACGTGAACATATGTGAGTGATGATGTGAGTGTGTGTAGTGTGTGTAAGTATGAGCTATGTGACTGTGACTCTGCATGAGTGTGTGAGCATTAATAAGCATGCATGAGCATGTGTGAATGTGTGTGAGCATGCATGAGCATGCGTGAGTGTGTGAGCATGTGTGAGCATGTGTGTATGCAGGCATGAGCATGTGTCAGCATGTGTGAGTGTGTGTGTGAGCAGGCATGAGCATGTGTCAGCATGTGTGTGTGTGAGTAGGCATGAGCATGTGTGAGTGTGTTTGAGCAGGCACAAGTGTGTGTGAGTGGGTGTGTGAGCATGAGCATGTATGAGCATGTGTGTGAGCAGGTATGAGCATGTGTGTGTGTGAGAGCAGACATGAGCATGTGTCAGCATGTGTGTATGTGTGAGCAGGCATGAATGTGTGTGAGTGTGTGTGAGAGAGCATGTATGAGCGTCTGTGAGCATGTGTGTGAGCAGGTATGAGCATGTGTGTGTGTGAGAGAGCAGACATGAGCATGTGTCAGCATGTATGTGTGTGTGAGCAGGCATGAGCATGTGTCAGCGTGTGTACATGTGTGTGAGCAGGCATCAGCGTGTGTGTGTGAGCAGGCACGAGTGTGTGTCAGCATGTGTGAGTGTGCATGTGACTTCTGCCTACACTAAAAGGTGCCAGACCTCAAGGGCTTTCCATGGAACCAGCTGCTTCCTGCAGGAAGGACACACTATGGGGGGGAAGTGACAGTCCCCTGGCCTGAGGAAGACCACCTGCAGTGCCTTTGTGTCCTTTAGGTCTCTACCACAGTGGCGCCTCCTCAAAGAAGCCTTCCTTGAGCCCCCAGCACCATCTTTCATCCCCCAGCCCCACTCCCAGCTCAGTGGTCTCCCGGGGCCCTTACCCCAACTGCGTGGTCACATGTTCACTCTCTGCCTGCCAGCTCCCCATTCTGTCGTCCCTGCTACATCCCCAGCACTCACCGTGGGCCTGGCACCCAGGATGCCCTGGGACCCTGTTTGTCCAAGGAAGAAAGAATTTGTGGCTGTGTCCAGGCCTCTTCTACCTGCCACACTCTTGGGCTCTGAGCCCTGCCTGTGCAGGATGGGGATGCTCACCGTGGGCCCATCACTTCTCTTTCTTACACACTCAGCCCCCTTCCTATACCACCCCCACCTCTCTAACTTCTGCTTGCTGCTCACAGATGGTGGAAGAGGCTTGATCTGGGTTCAGAAGCATTCACTGTCCCTGAAGCTGAGATGCTTGGGGCTCTAAAGACGGATGGCGTGGGCCAGCCAGCTCCCGCCTGGCCACTGGGCGTCCATGGGCACACGCTTGGGTTTCTGTCCACGGAGGTGCCTATGTGCCTTTGTGGTTATGGGTCCTCTGCATGGGAGTTTGTCTGTGGTCTGTCTCCATCCATGTCAGGGGATGTATGTGTCCCTGTGTGGTTGTTTCTAGATGTCCACCTGTGTGCACTCTCTCTCTGTGTCCTGTATAACCATGTTTGTCTCATAACCTTTTGGGGTCACTGACTTTGAGAATCTGTCATAAGCTCCAACTTCCCTCTCGAAAATGCATTTAGATGTCGTACTTCCAACAGTCAGGGGACAGTTTCAGGAAGGTCACCAACCTCTTGGAGGCTACAGGGGCCTATGGACCCCACGCTACAAATCAGCAACCAGCTTCATACCCCACTGGACTGTCAGGGAGACAGAGGGCAGGGGTCCTGAGAGAAAGCCCAGCCTGGTGCCCCAGTCACATGCTTGTCTTGTCGCTGTTTCCCTGTGCTCCCGCGTGCCAGGGCCCCCAGTTTCCAGCGCCCACCCACTTCCTCAGTCAGCTCCCTCTGGGGGCACTGCAAGGCCAGGAAGGGCAAACACCCCGGTGCGTCCTGGGGGACAGAAGGGCGCGCACCACGCGTGTGGCTCCGGAGCCCCGAGGGCCCCGCGCCTTGCGCCGCCCCCGCCCCCCCCCGGCCGGCTCCCTCCTCCCTCCCTCCTCCCTCCCCCCCCTCGCTCCCTCCCTCCCTCCCTCTCCCCCTCCCCCCTCCCTCCCTCCGCGCTCAGAGCTGCGGCTGGAGCCGAGCGCGCCGCGTCGCCCGCCGTCGCCAGTGCGGAGCGTGGGGAGCACTCGGCCGCAGCCCTCGCCTGCCGCGGAGGGTCGCGCCCGGCGCCGCCGGCCAGGCTGCCCTGTGCCCGGGCCTTTCCGTCCTTGGAGCGGATCGTTGCCCGCCGGGCGCCCGCCCGCAGTGACAGCACCCGCCGGAGCCGAGGCCGCGGCGGCGGCCGTGCCCATGACCGGGTAAGTGGTGCCCCGGGCGCGCGGGCGGGGGCGGGCGGGGCGGGCGGCCGGGCAGGTGGTGCGGCCGGCAGGTGGGGGGACGCGGGTCCCCGCCCGCAGCACCTGCGCCCCACGCCGGGCCTGCGTGTCCTTGTGGCGCCCTGGCCGCGCGTCACCCCAGGGCCCTGGGCGGGCGGGCAGCGCCCCGCACTCTGCACCCCGCACCCTGCGCCCCGCATCTCGCGCGCACGCGCATCTGTGTCTGGGGAAAAAGGCTGCTGGGGGCTGCGGGCAGGGTCCCAGGCAGGCACAGCTGGGAGCGCCCGGCCTAGGGAGAGCCGGGCTGCGCGAACGCACCTTCCCAGAGCATCACGGCACCCCCTCCCCCCCCCCCCCTCCCCCCCCCCCCGCGCCCTCACACTGTGTCATGCTCCCCCGACACACTGTCTGAGAAACCCTCACACTTCTCACACTGTCCCCCGCACGCCCACACAGCCACCCAGTCTACCCCCCACTCGCATAGGCAGTGCCAACGGCAAGCCACCCCGGCCACACTTGGGTAACTCCTTCTCCATCCTTCCATGCACAGCTGTCCTCCCCTCCTCACCTGTGTGACCTTGGCCGGATGGCTTCTCCTGTCCAGGCCTCAGTTGTCTCAGGTTTAGGATTCTGGAATTTTGAGCAGCTGGTGTGGCATCTCCCAGATGGGGGAGCCCTGGGTTTCCCCCTTGGACAGTCGAATTCTCTCTCTAGGACCTGGTCTCCTTTCTTCTGCTGGCCCCTGCAGGGCTCAGCGGCTGGGCCGGCTGAGGAGGGGTGGCAGGTGGGGGTAGGGCAGGGCATCTGGGCAGGGCAAAACTGCAGGGAGCCTGGGGTGAAGGCCAGGTGAGGGTTGGGAGAGTGTGGAAACACTCCCTCAAGGGGCAGGGCAGGGCCAGCATCCCTCAACCAGGTGCCAGACACTCCCTGGGCTGGGGCCGAGGAGTATGGCCACTTGGTATTTCAAAGATGAGGTCACTGGGCCTCCAACCTAAAGTGGGGCCCTGCTGGTCGCAGGGTGGAGTCCAGCCTGACCCTGGCCGTCCCAGTGTCCTCTGGCTCCCTGCAAGGACTTGGGCACCAGCCTGGCGGGCATCTTCCTCATTTGCCCGCTAGCTCTGTGCTCTTCCCCCTGCCGTCGCCCCTACCTAGTCTGTGGGCATCTTAAGGCAGGGACTGGCTATCAATCGGCACTGGCTGCTGGAGTACCCAGCACAGGCCTGGCTCAGAGTGGGCACAGGTTCTGTATGGTACATTCATGACCTTGACCTCACTGAATCTGCAGAATCACCCAGTGAGGGAGGCAAAGCCTGGATTTTTGTCCCCATTTTCAAATGGGATAATTGAGGTTCCAAGAGGGGAAGAGACTTGGACCTGCATTGACTGGATGGGCTGATGGCTGGGGACACTGCCATGGGCCTGGCAGGGGGAGCACCTCCCACATCCAGCCATGGTTCTGAGCAGGTTCCTGGACCCTCCGGCTGAGTCTCACCATCAACGCCATATGTGAGCCACTGCTGTCATCACCCCTTTCACAGCTGATGAAACCAAGGCCATGTGGCTCGTGAGAGGAGAGCTGGGATTCAGACCCAGGCAGTGGGAACTCCCACCTGAACTGACCTGCAGAAGGGAGGACTGGGGACTGCCAGAGCCCCTGCCGGCCTTGGCCGAGGATCCAAGGGTATAGCTGGCCCCTGGAGAGCAAGCCAGCCGGAAGGGACTCCAGGGCATTGATTGTCCCTGCTGCTGGCCTCGAGGAGAGGGAGGGCGAAGGACACAGCTAGTCTTGATCAGATCAACCTGGTCCGTGCCCAGCATTGCCAGGTGGTTTGAGCAAAGGGGCAGGCGGCTCTGGCACAGAAGTGGGGGGGGGGTGGCAGATAATGCAGGCAGATGGAACTGGGGTGGCGTGGGAGGGGGCTTTGCACAGAGCCAGAAGGAGAGCCAGTCCTTTGGGGAAGGAAGTCCCCGAGGCTAAGAGCGCTCTGCGGAGAGAGCTACAATGCCAGGCGGCAGAGACGCTGCAGCAGGCCCTGGAGGGGCAAGGAAGGCCTGTGGAAGGTGTCCTGGCCTAGGTCAGGGGCTCTCGGATTTGGTGCCAGCTCCGGACCTGATGGTCTTTGTGTCCTTGGCCAAGTCCCTTCTCTGCTCCGGGTCTGGGGAGGGTGGGGGTGGGCCTCGGCAGACTCTGCTGACATTTCAGGATTCTGAGCTGCAGCTTCGGAGGTTGAATCACTTGCAAGTGAGCAGGGAGAGGCCGGGGCCGTGAGTCAGTGAGTGCTCTGTGTCCCAGGACATCTTCTCTCAGCCAGGGAGGCAGTAGAAGGGTGCTGGGGTCAGCTGTGGCCCCCGCCACCTCTCACAGCGTGGCTTACACAGAGGGGTCCCTTGCCTTCCTGGTGGACAAGATGAGTGTGCCCTGGGCCCCTGGGGGCTTTGAGAGCTGAGCTTCCATTGGGACTCTTGAAGCCAGCAAAGCCAGGCCCAGCTTCCTCCTCCCACCTGACAGAGTGAGTTGTCAGCACACACATGGGCCGTGCCCATTGCACTCCCTTCCGATTTTAAACTGGGAGCATGTATTTCTCACCGATGGCCGCTGTCTCCATCAGAGGCTACTAGCACATCACATAATGTCAGTAATGACAGTGATAATAATAAGGGCACTCGTCTTGTGCCAGACACTGTTCTCAGTGCTTCACAGACATTCCCTCACTTCATTGAAACAATAATAAAATGAAGCAAGGGCTGTTACTATCCCCATTTTGCAGGTGAGTAGACTGAGGCCCAGAGGGGTAGGGCAAGCTGCCCAAGGTCACACAGCCAGTGGGTGGTAAAACCAGGATTGGAAGGCAGGCCTTCAGGCTCCTGAGTCTGGTCTGCACATGTAGCCACTAGTTCCATAGACTCTAGAAGTCTGTGCTAAACTCAGCAGAATGGGGTATTGTGCATATGAGCCGATTGTCGAGGGCCTTCTTTGGAAGACCCTGCAGCTCAGAACCTGAGCCACCTGCGCCCCCATCTATCCACTGAGAGAAATAGACAAACCGTGGATTCACATCAGTGTGAAGCCAGGTGGGGAACGATTTGCTCTTTAGTTTAAGTCTTCTGCGTGGCCCCTCCAGGGCATCCCTACGAAGGCACGATCTCAGTGTGTGTAAATAGCAGCTGATAGATGGGGACCTGGGCTGTGGCACTGATGGCAGACACTTAAATCTAATTGAGGGTGTGCTGCCTGGGAGCCTCACCAGTGCCATCTCTGAGATGAGCCCAGGTGCTGGGCTCTGGCTGTGACTTTGCTGGGCATGGCAGGCAGAGACCTGGAACGTGCAGATGTCTCCTCCCCACCCCCACCATTTCCCAGAAAGCCGTTTCTTTAGCTGGGGCCCCAGCTCCTCACTGTTCCTGTCTTCCCCACCCTGGCTACACTGGCAGAAGCCAGGCCAAGTGGTGCCCGGCTGGAAAGCCCTCCCCTGCCTGTGCACCTTCTGTTGGGTGGGAGGTGCTGGAAGCGGGCCTGGGAGTGCCGCCTGGAGAGCAGGAGCTGAGCCCACACATCACCAGCGCAGAGGGAAAGAGCATCTCAGATGGAGGAGCAAAGGCCAGGCGTCCTGACTGCCCAGGGTTGGGCAGGGGACGAGGCCAAGGTCGCATGGCTGAGTAGGTGGCAGAACCCAAACCAGAGCCACAGGGCCAGGTGGAAAGGCCCAGGGGAGAGAAAAGGGCTGGAGGTTTCTCCTGACTCCGACCTCCGAGGACTGGCAGGGGACTCAGAGCACAAGAGGTTTCCGGAGACGTGGGTCCAAAGCAGAGCTGTGCGAACGGGGTGCTGTGGTCCGTGTCCTTGGGGAGCACCTTATTCAGAGGGGTCCTGAGCCTGCTTCGATGTTCTGTAGTGGGTCCCTCAGTAAAAGAACTCTTTTATTCAAATGGGAAGTTCTTTCCTGCAGCCACAATCTTGAGGCACTTTCTAGAGCTGTGCGGTCCAATGCAGTAGCCATTAGCCACAAGCGGCAATTTAATTAAAGTGAAGTAAAATTCAAAATTCAGTCTCTCAGTCGCACTAGCCACATTTCAAGTGCTCAGTAGCCACACGTGGCTGGTGGCTGCTATATCAGACGGTGCAAACAGAGAACATTTCTATCAGTCCAGAAGGTTCCGTCACACGGCACTGCTTTAGAGCCAATGCAGACCCAAATCCTCACACAGACCCTGAGGCTGTTCCTGTGCTCTGCCACGGCTGCTTGAAAGGGAATGGGTCAGGCGGGTGTGGATGCCTCAGGGCAGCCTGTCCTCCCCTTGGAGAGTCTAAGGGCCTTTGCCACACTCGCCAAGGCCTGGCCCAGATGCTCCCACAAATGTGGGCGAGGGAGGCAGGAGAGCGCCTCACTCTGGGAGCAGCCTGCCACGCAGTGGGGATGCCGGGCCTGGCCTGGCCACATGCCGACTCCTGCGGCCCTGGCATGCCAGCCTGGGGCAAACCCGGCCCTGGCCTGCTCCCTGATGAGGCCCCGCCGTGTGCTCAGGCTCACTCCCCTGGGCATGCTGGAGGGGCCCCAGCAGCTCTGCACAGAGGGCCGAGGCTCTTGGGTTTTTAAAAACATGTTTCTTTTTCCACTTAAAAATAATGCTCTTAACACGCGTGATCTTTATAGAAAATGCATAAGACACAGAGCAGTAGAAGACACAGGACCCTCCGTCCCGTCACTGAATGCAGCCAGTGTTTCCACTCGGTAGGACCAGTTTCCACTTCATCCCTTTGCGTGGGCTATTTTCACATTACTGTCATTGTACCGGTGGCACAATTGTGTAATCTATTGGTTACTTCACATAAGCATCTCCTTTATTAATATAATCCCTTCCTAAATGAATTTTTTTCCAAAATGGATATAGTTTAATTTTTGTAAGATTGTGAAAGCACACAGTACTTATTGCAAAAATAAAGAAAGAACTTGAACGGTGCAAAGAAGGAACTACAAAGGGTC